TATTGAGTAACCGCATATTTACGAAATAAATTATTAATCGAAGGGAGAGACACGAACCCTAGACCTAACGCATACTAAACACTAACGCTATCCACTACACTAAACACGCAACTACAATATTTGAGCATATAATATTCCTTATAATACTCTACACATATTTCATAAAAATGAATTTACATAAACACTAATAGACAATAACAATAATGAATAATAAACAATTATAGCACTATATAAGTTTCAAATATTTGACACATTTTAAATTTCGCGGTCAGTGGTACCAACCAAAATTTGAATAAAAAATTTTTGTTTTCGACGTGTCATGTTCTTCAAACCAAACGACGATATGTCATGTTTTTCAAATCAAAACCGAGGTATCATGTTTTTCAACGCAAATCCGAGGTATCATGATTTTACACCCAGCAAGCGTATGGATCTCCTAACCAAAGTTTATATGGATGAGGCAGCCATATGTGAAAATGCATAGCATATGAATTGTAAGCCCAACCATGCCTATGGATGTCACATCCATATTTGATTCAACAATATAATATAGCTCCCTCATCCATTGATTATTGAAAGTGCTTCCATCCTGAAAGTTGTCTCTTCCATTGAATTGGATAACACAACAATATTCTGCTCAACAATATTTTTATGGATGTCTCTTCTAAACCTTTTCTTTCCGTGTGTAACACAAATAACTATTCAATGCAAATATTTTATTTTATTGTTCATAATTTTAAAATTCAGTGTGCAATGTTTAATTATTATTATTATTATTAAAATTATAAGTTTAGACAAAAATTGCGTTTTTATAATTTTTACAATCGTTTAAAAAAACTATGGCTATCTCCCCCGGACTTACCATATTATCTATATATATATATTCGTTTCCATGCCATAAAATTTTCAACGTGGCTTTAAATCAAAGAGACGAGCACAGAAAAAAGCAAATTATCTTTCTCGCCGCATGTGTGCATCAATTTTTGAAAATGTGTTATAAATCCCACAGAAGTTAATTATTCTATTACTCGTTTTCCGTGAAGTCTGCTCATCCACAAGATAAAGAGAGTGAGAGAGAGTCAGAGAGGGTGTTTTATATACCAGAGATGGACTTAATAACTTTTCACCCTCGCCCCCCTCCTCTTTCCACTTCTCATTGTATATACGCGCTCCTGGAACCTTTAGTAAGTTAATTCATGGTTTCAGAAGAATCTGAGGCGATTTTGCTTTTTCTCTCGCTAGTCGTAACATTACACGCCGCAGCCTACATAAGTAACAACGCACCGGAACAAATATTGGTTGCCGACTCTCCGCCAATAGTTACAGTTTCGCTGCCATAAATTCCAAATTCATCCGCCTATTGGGAAATAATCGCGCTCGCACCCAAGTCCCTATATATACATACTCTAGATTGTGATTTATTGATGAAATTTCAAAAGGGAGCCGGGAATTAAGTTGTTTTCGCAGGTTTATTGCCATTATGGGTCTCATCAATAATGGTGTTGAAAGAACCTAGATGCTTTATAAAGTTTAATAATATTATAATAATAATTAATCATAATCTGTATTCAAAGTCTCAAAATATCGATAATTTAGCAATTTTATTTTTATCGGCTTCTTTTCCCTTGACTGTATTTTATTACTGAATATAAAATTTTTATGTTTTGTGTATAGAATATTTTTTGCATTTTCTTGTGCAGTTTAAAAAATTTTATTTTTATTTGATCAAGACATTTTTTTCTGTTTTATTCTGTTAAGTACTATTGTGACTGAATTTGGTTTCATAGAAATTTGTATTTATTCATTTTCCATTTCTTAGGAAGAGAATTAATTTACTTGCAGCCATTCTCCAAGAGTCAGTCAACAAAGTGCTAGCTTTGTCCTTTTAACTTTCAAGTCTGACATATTGGTCATTAAGACTAAAAAAGATGCTTTCACTTTGTACTATTGCCATAATTTTAGTCATTTTAGTATCTATTATTAAAATCTAACTAGCAATTTCTTAAGGACCGAATTCTTTGAAGAAAAATTAATATATTTTTTAAATAAATGTTTAATAAGAATATAAAGTGAAATTAACTTATAAATCCCAAAACTATATGACAGATATAGTCAAGAGTTGACTATATACAGGTCAAGAGTTAACCTGTAGCTTATCTGCCCTTAAAATTTAGGTCAATTTTAAGGGCAGTTTTAACCTACAGGTAAAAAATTGACAAACTAACCCCCCTGCCCTCAAAATTTAGGTCAATTGTAAGGGTAGTTTTGACTTAAACGTAAAAAATAGACAATCTGATTCCTCTGCCCAAAAAATTTGTGTCAATTTTAAGGGCAGTTTTGACCTAAGCGTTAAAAATTGACAAACAATTCTCTAGGTCAAAATTTAGGTCACATTTGTTCTATGTTTTTAACCTACACGTCAAAAAAGCGACCCAATTACCCTAGTAGAAATTTGTCCTAGTTATTATAAAGGAACTGTCCAGTCGCGCTTGAAATTGTCTAGTTACTTTACAAGCCAACTGGCTAATAACTGGAAAGGAGTGTCACGCTTTTTTCATCAAGTTATTATCTAGCCCAACTTTATAAATTCTGGTCAACGGTTCTGTAGAAAAACTAGACAAATTAATTATTTTAAAATACTGAAAATTTGTTTAATATTAAGATTTACTGTAGTTAACACATTTATTTCATGCAATTAATATAAAATTTCTATTTAGCACCAAAGAAATTCAATAAAAAATATTTTTGGAAAATTTCTGTATCCATTATAATATATACATAATAAATGGAATAGAAAAAAAAATTATACAATATTTTATAATTTTTAATTAATTAGTTGAATTATTATATAAAAATAATGTAAATAGTAAATTGGTATATACTTTTAATATTTTCTATGTAATAAATAAAACATTTTAGATGATTTTTTAATTATTATAACTTTTTAGTAATTTAATTTGCAACGTGAACAATTAATAAATAAATTGATTACTGTAATTAAATTTTTAATTATTTTAATTAATTTATTATGAATTATTATAAATATTAATTAATTAATTTTATTATTTAATATGATTAATTGATTATTAATTAATAATAATAAATTCATTAAATTTTTAATTTGTAACGAATCTATCTTTTTCTTTAGTATTTATTTTATATAAAATTTCAAGTTTATTTTACTATATTTCGGAAACGTATGATTTTAATAAATATAACCTTTATTTTTATAGTTTGCAAAAAATCATATTATTTTATTCCTTATAAATTTGCAGTTAACATATTACTTCAATTGATTATTTAATTGTCGATCGAGAAATAAATCATTACACATTCATATAACATAAAATTTGATTAGTATAAGGATTATTTCACGTCTGGCCAGACATTAAAAATAAACAATTCTCATTCACACTAAATTTACGTCACACAATAAATAAATGAGTTCTCTTTAAGAGTCGAAATTAAGATAAAATTGATTTGATAAAGTCTTATATGCTAAAGTCGGGGACAAAAGAAAGCGACTCTGGCTTTTTTGTTTATATCTCATTGAAAAAAAATCTCTAAACATTCTGGTAAAAAATTTATGAAAGCTTAAAGTGTGACGGGTTTTAGAAAGATTAACAATTAAATTGTTAATAATAATAATTCAATTATCCGTAGATAACGGAGTACTCTTTATTATAATTATTTATGTATTTATTAACTATTCTTTTACATGTATTTATACACAGTATAAATCTACTAGTCGTGTCGTGACACAAGTCAATAGAAAGAAGTTAAAATTAGTACTGACTTGAGGGCCTTGCACTAGGCTACGTAATGCCACGTTTTGGGGAAAGGAAGGAGAAACCGGTTTTTAGTGGTGCTCGGTAAGGGTGGATGCAGGGAGAAGTGTAGGAGATAGAATTTTCGTTACAAAAGTCTTGAGAATGAATATTTGTAATTTATAATATGATCTACTTATTAATTTATAATAAATTATGCTACATTCTCAAGCAAAATTTTATACATTTATTATTTAATCTTTTTTCTAAGGAAAATTTGATGACATAAAACACATTAAGTATCAAATAATTAATTACTGTAACATTACATGTAATGTTAAAGTAATATTACCATGTATTATTACTGTAATGCTATAAATAATATTACCAATACATTGCAATATTACTAATATTACATGTGATATTACAGTAATATTACGTTCTACTTGGGATATTGCAAAAAAACTACAAATCATGGATTTTATCTGTTAAGCGTAGAGCCAGCCCTGAGTGCAATCCTACATCTGGCGATTTTCTTCTGGGTTTCCTATTGTACACTCGAAACTCTTTTTTTCTACAACTTTTTGCTTTATGGCAGCCACACGTCGATTCTCATTAAAGCCCTAAATATGTATATTCATTTTTTGAAAAGAATATTCAATTTATTTAGTTTTTAATTTATGTAATTTTATCCTACTATAAAATTGCACATTTTAAGCTAAAAAACGTCATTTTATCTCTATTTGTTTAAAAGATAGCATTAAGCTGAATAAAGCTGTGTAAACAATAAATTAATTATTATTTTTCAATTTCAAAAACAAAAATTAATTGTACACACCTTAAAGAATATCTGTGAATTTTTTCAAATTTTTCCTACTAGCAGTTTCGCTTGGGGAACAGGTGAAAGTATATACTTGAAAAAAGGGCTGAAAAACTGTGCTTTTTGGCACATTTTGTGTCAGCTACTGCAAAAAATTTTTTGTGGTCTCGAAATATACTTTTTTTCATTCTCAAGACTTTAAGCTTTCATAAATTTTTTACCAGAATGTTTAGAGATTTTTTTTCAATGAGATATAAACAAAAAAAGCCAGAGTCGCTTTCTTTTGTCCCCGACTTTAGTTATAAATTTGTATAAAGGACACAGCTGATTTGTGTGTGGTCAATAAAAATTGTACTTATTAATAATATTAATTTTGGTAAATGCGTATTACAAAATAATCGGAAGTGACTCACCGTAGTTTTCAAAATAATTTCATAATCGTGGACAACCTTACGCAAGTATCGGTGTCCCTCTTGTCAATGATAATTTTATCTAGGAGATGATCCCCTTTGTCGATTCAATAGATATGGTGAATGGTCACTTCCTTGAAGTATAGACGTGATAATACAAACAAAGACTCCACGAGTACAGGTTCACCTGATAATCAGGATACTTGACAAAGGCTCGACTTCGAACGGAGCAAATAACCCACGAGGTGCTATAATAAATTGTACACCAACCGCTATAAATTTATAAAACAATTAGAACACCTTATTTTCACTATTAATATTTTTTATTTTATTTGATTAATTTTTTCTTACCCCTATCGGGCGTCTTGAAAAATTTAATTATTCGCTGTTCGCCAGCGCACTTTAGCAACCTTTTCACACCGAGGTGTTTGTACCAAGGTCTTGACCACACTAAATTCTTATTTCGATTTTGATATACACGATTCCTACCTCACACCCTACTCACACGCACACTCTCATTTCTTATCGCCTTTTACATAGTTTCGACGATTCGTCAATATATTTCTCACAAATTAATAGAAAATTATAATTAAACTAAAATGGAATTTAAAAAAATTAATTTTTAACTAATTTTCTTATTTTTATATTTATTATAAATGATTGTAAATATTTATTAATTAATTTTATTAATTATCAATATTATTAATTTATTTTATTAATTAATTTTATTAATAATTATTAATAATTTTTATTATAAATTAATTTTATTAATTAATAACAAATTAAAATGAAAAGTTTTAAAATATTGGAAAGAATAAGAACAAATTTATCTCTAGCAAATAATCAGTCGAGCTGTCTAGTTATTAGACATTATTGCACTGTCATCGACACGACAAACTTAGAACTATAATTTCTAGGAGTACTTTAAAGTAACATTAAAAAAACTAGACAGAAGTTATGTCTAGCCAATATCAAGTTCAACTTGAATCTTTGCCGAAGAGCGTTGGTCAGTAACTTTACAGTTATTTACCAGTCCGCCTAGAATCAGCGTCCGTGACAAAAACTGTCCAGTAACTTGAACAATCGAGTGGCTCCATGACAAATTTCTACTAGGGTAGGACCCTTAATCGCATAAAAATTAGGTCCTTACATAAAAATTTAGGTCAAATTTGAACAATTGTCGACCTGTAGCACAGTGGGTCAGAATCGCTAGTTTTTGGCTAAAATTAATAGTTCTCAAAAAGCGTGAAATTTATGCCTACTAAATATGCTATCTATTGTTTTTAGGGTCACTGATTACGAATATGAAGTCAGATTTAAAAAAATTCAAAGTGGCGGATCCAATATGGCGGACATAAAATTAAAAAAATTATTCAATTTTTATATATAATATTTATATAATTTATATTTATTTTTATTTATTTATATTTTATATATTATTCAATTTTTTTATATATTTTTATATTCGATATCAAGGGGGTTTTAGGGGTCGCTAATTACGAATATGTAGCCAGATTATAAAAAAATTCAAAATGGTGGATCCAATATTAATTTAATAATAAATAATAATAATAATAAATAATTAAAAAAATTATTTAATTTTCATATAACATTATTATTTAAATGTTTCTGAAAATTATTCCTTACATACTTGCATATGTTTAAAATAAAAAGAAAAATAATTTGAGTAAAGAAAGAAATTGACTCTTGGCGACTTTTAGTAGTGAAGTTCTCTGATTGATTCGCGTCTGAAAAAGAATTTCTATACTTAAATTCGGTCAATATAGTTTTCACAACTAACAAAAAGCGTAAAACGAGTTTAACGCGTTGCAGGTAAAACTTTCGAGCCCTCTAAATCTACCTCTTTAAAACATCTCATTTATATTTAATAAAATAAAAAAACACAGTCAACATGCTTAATCTAAGCTATTTTAAACAAAAATCAATGTTGAAGAATTGCATTTATGTTTAAGATTATGTCTTTCAAAAAATTAAAATTGTATCTGGTCATACAAAATATTTACGACAAATTTTTTTTTACTTTTTTTCTTGTTAAAATCAAAATGGTCAAAAAGGAGCATATGTGAGCTAAAGTATACTATCCCTTTGCGGCATAGTGGTAACCCAGATTACCACCTTTTATATTGTGAAAATATCTGTTTATATACAGTCTTTTTCAAGTAAAATTCAAAAATCTTTGTTTATTAATAATCAAAACATTGTTAAATGTCGAAAAATTGATAGCGAATGAGGTTACGTGAAATTATAAACACCTATAAATAAATAAATTAAAGAACAAAAAAATTTTTTTTAAATTCAATCGAAATTGACTGAAAGTCTTCACTCGGGGGTTTAATAAGGAGGACGGTCTTTACCCCCCACGAGGGTGTGATTATATTGCACTGTGTGAACGCTTTGATTTTTTAACTTTGGAAGAACGACGCATAATCAATGCAACTATTTTTGTATTCAAAATCATTAACTATAACATTGACTGTAGAATTCTACTAGACTTAATTAATATCAGGATCCCTCGTATATCATCTAGAAATGTTTCACCATTTTATATTGACCAAAGTGACTTAATTCGAATAAAAAATACTCCTATCTTTTTTGCGTGCTATCATATAAACCGAATGTTCAATTCTTTTCACCCGAATATGGATTTATTTGTAGCGTCACAATCTAAGTTTGTAGAATGCGTAAAAAACTATGTTGTCAGCCTACGAGAGCACAACTAATCACTTCACTATTAGCTAACATATTTTTGTTTTTTTTTAATTTTATTTTCTGTATTATTTTTATTTTTTCTCTTTAAGTAGCTTAGTTCTGATTGTACTAGCTTTTCTATAAACACATTTTTTTTGTTCAATTCTATTTTTTCTTTTGTAACCCATTTATGGTTCTTTGTAGAACCGCGGGGATGTATTTTGATAAATAAATAAATAAATAAATAAAATCCGCTAATTTTAATTAATTAGTTAATTTTATTAGGAAATAAACAGCTTAATTTGATTATTATAAATTTTTGAACAGTATTTACCAAACTGCCCTTTTCAGGGCTAAACGATGTACAAATCCCGATCGTGCAACCTCCCCGCGGTGTACATCAGGTAACGCAAATGCCGACGGTACAATTATTTAATAATTTAACGTTTATTTATTGAAAGTAATTTCAGATTCGTAATCAGCGACCCCAAAAACCCCCAAGTAATGATTTTCAATCGATCTCGATCAATTCTAAAAAAAAATTCTTACGCCATATTGGATCCGCCATCTTGAATTTTGAAAAACAGACTTCAGATTCGTGAACAGCGACCCCGAAAACCCCCGATTAACGATTTTTAAGCGATTTCGATTAATTCTAAAAAAATTTGTCCGCCATATTGGATCCGCCATCTTGAATTTTGGAACACGGACTTCAGACCCTCATAAGCATTTGTGATTTTTAAATTAATGTTATAATGTTATGCATGCCGCAAAGGGCTATCTAAGGAGTAATTTGTCATATTTCTCATTTAATTTGGTGGTGGAAATCGAGGGAAACATTTATTTAATTCTAGTCACGTACGAAGTTTTATATATAAATATTTATTCAATGAGGTGTAACTTAATTTCAAATTAATTAGGAAGCTACAATTATTGATTAACAAACTTTCATCTTATATGTGAATAAAAAAAGTGCCTTATTATGCTATTTAAAAAAATTGTAAATAAAAAAATGCGTTTAATATTCATAGAACGCTAGAAATTTAAAAAATAAAATTTATTGTTCGAAGGGTTGTAAAATTCTTCCTAATTAATAAAATGCAAAACTATTTTAGTGTTTAATGTAAAAAAATGTATAGAAATAAGTAATGTATATCTCATCTAATTTAAATCAAGTTAAAAAATTGCCTTTTTGGTAAAAAATTTAAGTTCCTGGCCCACTGTGATGTAGGTTTAAAATACGCCCAAATTTGACCTAAATTTGTATCTAGGGTAAATCCTTTTAGAGGGTTTAAAACAATTTCAAAATTGGCCTATATCACAGTGCAACACATAAAATGTGCACTAAGTTTTGACTTCAGTTTCTGAAAGTACTTATCGAAACTAGCAAAAACCTATTTCAGTTTTGCTAGATTAGCTCGGATTTAAATTTTATCGACATTTGAATTTTTTTTTTGAATTTTCACATTTTTCAGTTTTCAGATACGGGCTGATGGGAACACTGGCTATAAAAAGTTTATTAAAAAAATTCGCAATGGTCAAAAGTTGAAAAGCAATAATCCCTCTTTAATTAGAAAGAAAGAAAAAAAAATTTGGTCGAAAATTGTTCTAATTATGGTTTTTTTTTTACTTTTTCACATCTTTCGGTTTTTTGATACGGGCGGGTGGGAACGCTAGCTATTAGAAATGAATTAAAAAAAATTCACAACGGTCAAATTTTAAAATGCAATAATCCTTCTTTAATTTCTGATAAAAGAAAAAAAATTGGTAGAAAATTATTCGTGTTATTTATTTATATTTATTTATTTCTGTACATTTGTATACCCGCGGTCCTGTGCAACCGAGGGTTTTGATTTTTTTTTTGATTTTTTTCGAAACCAAATATTTCGAATCAAATATTTTATCTTGGGCAGAAATTAAATAGGGATTATTGCTCTTTAAATTGTGCCCATTACGAATTCTTTTTATAAATTTTTAATATTCAGTATTCCCACTTCCGTTATCAGAAAACCGAAAATTAAAAAAAAGTAAAAAAAAATTCATAACTTGAACAATTTTTGACCAAATTTTTTTTCTTGGGCAGAAATTAAAGACGGATTAATGCTCTTCAAATTGTGATCATTCGAAATTTTTTCATAAATTTTTAATAGCCTGCGTTCCCACCCGCCTGATCAAAAAATTGAAAAATGTGAAAAAGTCAAAAAAAAATTAATAAGTGGAACAATTTTTGACCAAATTATGTTTTCTTTGTCAGCCCGTGTAGAAAAATTGTTGGGTTCTAGTGTGGTGCCAAAAAGACAGTCTATTCTCTAACTGGGCGCTGAAAAGACTGTCTGACCATGGGCTAATCAGACCAGTGACGATCGAACCACGCGTTGGTCCAGACTGGACGAGCTAATCAGGGCTAATGAGCAGTACTAATATTTCAAATTTTAGGTTCGATTTCAATATTTCAGTTTTTTAATTTTAAATAATTTACCCAAATTCACTCGGTTCTCACGTTTATTCAATGTAATGTGAAAATATGAATTATTAATAATAAATAAATATTATTGTTATTCATATATATGTGTGTATATGTATTTAATGACAATAACTTATTATTATAATAATTATATTATTTTCAAATAAATAATATACTGCACTAGCAGTAAATATTATTTAAAAGAGTAATATTGAAAGATAATTTTAATAAAAAAACAATTTGCGTTAATTGGTACATTTTTTAAATTCATTCTTTAACAGGCCTTTAACATTATTTACAAACATGTTTACAATTTTAATTTATAACAC